GCTGAGCCAAACCGGTCAGGGCTATTGTTTTTAACTATGATACTTGTCACTACAAGTGACAAGTGAAAATAAAACTTCTGATTAAGTTGTGTTTTGTTTTTGTTTTATTCATTTTAGAGAGAGGAAGGGAGAGAGAAACATCGATGTGAGAACATCAGTTGGTTGCCTCTTGTATGTGCCCTCGCGGATTGAACCCACTACCTCTTGGGTTTGGGATGATGCTCCAACCAACTGAGCCACACCAGCCAGGGCTGGTTAAGTTTTAAATTTCGATTTTGTATATTTTTCCTATTTCCCAACTAAGAGTCATAAAGCTAATGAAATTGCAGAATAAAATATATGCTAATTTGCACAACAGGCCATGGATTTAAACCTTTTCCTGTTTTTTGGTTCACTGACTTCTAGATAAAGTGGGCAGCCTTCAATAGTATCTGCTTTCTCAGAAGTCTGTAATAGTTTCACTGGCATTCCCCATGGGTTTCTTAGATAATTTTTCCATTCGTTCTCTTTAAAGTGTTTGATTTTCCACTAATTTCCTTTGCAAACTTCACACAGTTATTGGTTATGAACAGCACTATATATGATTGGGAAGCAAGAATGGAAAGTGTGTTTTTTTTTCTTCAAAGGAAATAAATATGTTTAGGAGAAAGACACAGTTACAGAAAATAGCCACAGCATAAAATCTAGAGAACAATTCCAAGACAATGTGTAATCAATCACATATTTATGTAAAGAGATAGCAGGGGGACCTAACATGGAACAGTTTTGAGAACAGGTTTGATGAGATGGGTCCTGTTGATGGAGTAGCAGAGAACATATTTTTGACACTATAGGCAAGACAGACTGATTAGTTTCTAGACGGAAAGAAGAGCCTATGAAAGAGCTTTGTGTAGAATAATGATGTAAGAAGACACAAGGCATGGATTTCATTTGTGAAGCTGTTGCTGTAATCATAAGGGTAAATGTGAACAGAATGGAGAGAGAAGTATTATAGGCAGAGATTGGCAATTCTTTTTTTATTGTTGTTTATCCTCACCTGAGGATATCTTTTTCATTGATTTTTTTTAAACTGTAAGAAGCATTTTTATTTTTATTCAGACTTGTAAACTTTAGCAAAGTGAGATAGTTGATTTCAAAAACTAAAAGATGGTCAGGCTTTTTACGATTTTTAAAATTTTTACCTTTATTTTTGAAAGTCTTACAGATGTCCCTCCTCTCTGCTCCCTCCCCCACCTTCACCACACTATTGTCTGTGTCCATTGCTTATGCATATAAGTGCAAGGAGGGGAGGAGGGGGCGGGGGAGCAAGAGAGAGGGAGAAACATCCATGTAAGAGAAAAACATCCATAAGAGAGACACATCAATTAGTTGCTTCTCAAAGGCACTCCGACCAACTGTGACTGGGGTTCAAACCAGGAATATGCCGTTGACTGGGAATTGAATCAGAGACCCTTTGGTGCATGGGCCAACGCTCTAACCACGGAGCCACACAGGCCAGGGCAGGGATGGGCAATTCTTGTTAACTGAATGCAAGGAGACTGGTAATGGGAGGAGACAACTGAAGTAACTTCAGATTTCTAATCTAGGTTACTATCAACACCTGGAAACATTGAGCGAGGGTAGTTAAAGAGGATTGGGGAGTTTGTTGGCATCTTGCATGGTGGAGAATATGTAAACTTTGTTATTAAGCAAGTGGGTTTAAATCCCAGTCAACCATTTCCTGAAAGTGTATTTATAAGCAATTTATGTAAACTCTCTGGGCTTCAGTTTCCTCATTTTTAAAAGGAAAGAGAAATAACTACATTATAGGATTGTTGCAAAAGGTAGAAATAAAGGACCTGGCATATATGTTATCTGTTGTTGTTGTTGTTGTTATTCGGTTTTTCCTGTTAAAGAAGCTAGATTAGGTGTATGTTTCCCTTATCAGCTACAGAGAATGGTAGAGTTAGAGTTGGAGATGGTTCTCACATGGTTCTAAGGCAGATAGATGTTTTTGAAAATGTATGTGTATCTCAGAATAACAGATTTTCAGAAGGACTAGAAATAATTTTAAAAATTACCTAGAAAGCAACTTTTGTGATTAGTAATGAAAATACAAGATTATAGAATGTGCTCATCCATTTGTGTGAACCCTTTCTGGGATTTTGCATTCCAAAGAGGAATAGGGCTAGTAAATGTTCAGACATATTTAATTCTCAGTGTTTCTGAAATACAGAAAAACGTTTAAGATTTTTCTTTTTCTGAGATGCTATGACCTTAGTGTGAAGCCTATTGTTTACATGTCTTAAAATCTTGAAATACAGTAGATTATGACTTTTAAGGAGAAAAGCATGACTTGTCCTTAATATTGCAACTATAAAAAAAAGACTTTTGTTTTTCATAAATTAAACAATTTGGTAGATTCTGGGGGTGATACAACTTGAAAGACACCAAAATATGTTCAAAGGTGTGGTTGCATGAGGCACAGGGAATTTGCTGCCCTTTCAGGACCCATTCATTCAACATCATCCAACAACACTCACTCCTCCAACAAACTCTTGTGAAGATGCAAAATAGTTGCTAACAAGCAAGATAAATATTACAACTTGCTGAAATAGTTAATGGTCAACAGAGATAGAAGGAAAAAAAAACCTCAAAGAGCACAAAACATCTGAGAAAAGTCTGCAGAGAAAATAAAATTAGTGGAAGAAGATTAAGCACAAATAAAGGTGATTTCGCTCTGGCCAGTTTGACTCAATGGTTAGGGTGTCGGCCCGCAATGAGTCAGTTCTGGCCTAGGGCATGTACCTCAGTTGCGGTTCATTCTCAGCCCTGGTCAGGGTCGCGTGGGAAGCAACCTGTCGATGTGTCCCTCTCACATTGATATTTCTCTCTTCCTTTGTCTCCCTCTCTTTCCCTCCCACTCTATCTGAAGATACATAGAAAAATATCCTCAGGTGAGGATAAAAAAAAAAAATAGCCCTGGCCTGTTTGGCTCAGCGGTTAGAGCATCGGCCTGTGGTCCAGAGAGACCTGGGTTTGGTTCCTGCTAAGGGCATGTACCTCGGTTGCAGTTTGTCCCCGGCCCTGGTTGGTTGTGTGGGTGGCAGCCACTCGATGTGTCCCTTTCACGTCGATGTTTCTTTCTCTCACTCTCTTCCTCTCTCTCCCTCCCACTCTGTATGAATAAAAAATGGAAAAATGTCCTCGGGTGAGGATAAAAAAAAAAAGAAAAGAAATATGAAATTTGTTGAGACTTCCACAATTAAAAATCCTTTTGGGGGAGTTATATCATAATATCTAGAGAACATGAATAGTTAGGGCAAAGATAGTTGACCAATTGCCTGCATCCCGCCCCACCGCCATCAATTTAAATATTTTCTCTTTTTTATTGATTTTAGAGAGAAAAGGATAGAGGGAGATAGACGCATCAGTGAGAGAGAACATCGATTGGCCGCCTCCTGCATGCCCCCACTGGGGATCAGGCCCACAACCTGGGCACGTGTCCTGACCGAGAATCAAACCGGCGACCTCCTGGTGCATGGGTCGACCCTCAATCAGTGAACCACACCAGCTGGGCCACCACCACCAATTTAATATCCCAGGCAGATGGCTCAGCACTCCCTCCTGTGAACCCCTGACACAGCCTCAGAATCCTTAATATAATACTAATGGAAGCCGCCACCATTTTAAAAGAGTTGGTATCAGATAGAAACCTACTTATTGCCCTGGCCAGTTTTGCTCAGTGGTTAGAGCATTGGCCTGTGGACCAAAGAGTCTTGGGTTCGATTCTGGTCAAGGGCACGTACCTTGGTTGTGGTTCGGTCCCTGGCCCTGGTCAGGGTTGTGTGGGAGGCAACCAGTTGATGTGTGTCTCTCACATCAATGTTTCTCTCTCTCTGTCTCTCCCTCCCTCCCTCCCACTCTATTTGGAGGTAAATGGAAAAATATCCTCGGATGAGGATTAAAAACAAAACAAAACCTACTTATCCTAAATTATGTTCTGAAGATCTTTTAAGTATAATATTGTGATTATCTTAACTTTGTATTTATTTATTTTTTAATATAACCTTTTATCAAGATTATTAAAAATCCCATGTGCTGATCTCATCCCATGTATACTATTCAAAATCTTAATTATGGTAAAAGAACTTCATATCTTAATTTTATTACCATATTTGCTGTGACAAAAACATACCTTGAGCTGAAGCAGAACTTACAATAAATACAGTTGTTCTAGGGGAGAAAGAAAATCAAGTAACTATAAACGTATACCTAGGTTCATGTTTGTCAGGAGTAAAGTCTTTGAGGATCTGTGATCCATTTTATAGCTTCTTAGTTTCTTTTATTCATTCATCTCACAAATGTTTATTAGCCACCATCTATGGGACACACACCATTATTGATAATTTAGATCCATCAGAACAAAATAGGCAAAACCTTTTCCCTCTCCCCCATCTCTGGAGCTGACGTGGATGTTTTTCCTAGCAACCTAAAAACTCATAAAGGCATCTAGTTTTTTCTTTTTAATCCTTACCTGAGGATATTTTTCCATTGATTTTTAGATAGAGAGGGAGGGAGAGAGTGAGAGAGGGAGGGAGAGAGGGAGAGAGAGACACATCAATGTGAGAGAGACACATCCATTGGTTGCCAACTGGGGATCAAACTGCAACCAGAGTATGTGCCCCTGACCGGAATCAAACTCAAGACTCTTTGGTCCATAGGCCGATGCTCTGTCCACTGAGCAAAACGGGCCAGGGCAAGGTATCTAGCTTTAATAGCACAGGATTAGAATGTCACGTGGAATTCCTATAGCAGCATTAATATTTGCAGCTGTGAAATTAAACAGTGAGGTTGCAGTAAATGAATAGTGAGGAAAGAGTCACAAAATCAGGCACTTTCCCAGACAGTTCTCCCTTTCTTTAAAATTAGGATTTATCCTACCATGTAGGGATATAGCTGGTAGAAAATGTGAAAAGGAATGCAAAAGCGTTGTGAAAAATATTTACTGTTACATATAAATATAATCAAACTTTTGTTTTAAATCAGAAACCCTAATGATGAAAAATATAGATCTATCCGGATTGGAAACACAGCTTTTTCAACTAGACTCTTGCCCGTCAGAGGAGCTGTTGAATGTTTATTTGAAATGGGCTTTGAAGAGGTAAGTCTGTTCAAAGGTTTCTTCTCCTCAGTTCCTGTACAAAGCATTCATTATTGTGTTGATGGATAATTACCTAAATGAGATTATATTTTAAATCAATTGATCATTTTGGAACTCTGTGGAACTAGTTATTTCTTCACCTACTAAACATTTAAAAGTCACAATAAGTACACTGTAAAATCACAGTAAAATACAACAACTCTCTCATAGGGAAAATTCTCACAAGTGTCAATCTGAATTGGGAGATTAAGACATGCAACCCAAGGACAAAATTATGGCTCACTTAGACTATTAGCAAAAACCTAATTTGTGAGCACACGTGAATACTAATAAAGTGCAACCACCTGGATCAGTAAGAAATGAAAAGAGTAAACACAGAAAAGCTGAGTTTAGTTGCTGCACATAAGTTCTGTGTCAGGAGAAAAGAATCTCAGTGTGTTTTTTTTTGTTTTTAGGTCAAAAGAGAAGTATGTTGTTCTCATCTTCTGTCATCTTATGGCATAGTTTAATTTTATGACACAATGGAAGTAGTTATCAAGATACCATTTATAGTTTATAGAATACTGAGAGAAGTTGAACCAGGTTTTGGGTACTGAATAGTCAGTAGCAGTCAGAATTGACAAGGATGTAGAAATTGCTAAAGGGACATGCTGAGTTGCTATAGGATATACTTTCCTTCCTGCCTCTCTGCTTGCCACCGCAGATTCTGTTTCAGGCCCTGGGGATGTAGTGGTGAACTAGGTAGCTATGGATCTTTTCTTACATGAAGCTTGTATTCTATTCTAGTACGTTAGATAGACAGTAGACCTGAAAACAAAGATGAGTGTAAAGAAGAAAATAAGCCCTGGCTGGTTTGGCTCAGTGGTTAGAGCGTCGGCCTGCGGACCAGAGAGTCCCGGGTTCAGTTCCTGCTGGGGACACATACCTCGGTTGCAGTTTGTCCCCACCCCATTGGGGTTGTGTGGTTGGCAACCACTCCATGTGTCTCTCTCACGTCGATGTTTCTCTCTCTGTCTCTTTCTCCCTCTCTCCTTCCCACTCTATCTGAAGATAAATGCAAAAAAATGTCCTCAGGGTGAGGATTAAAAAAAAAGAAGAAAATAAGACCTGGTAATACAATAAAAAGAAAGTGTCGTGGCGGGCAGCTACAGAGAAAGAGTGGTCAGGGAAGGCCTCTGAGGAGATAACGTTCAAACTGGGACCTGTGTGACAAGAAGTAGTTCAGATACCCGAAACTCTCCGGTCAGAGTGTTTCAGGCAGATTCACCTGTGCAGTGGACTTCAGCGGGAGTAGCTTTGACACAGAAAATAGTTACACAGAGGCAGGCAGAGGCTGGGGCATGGGGTTTTGAGGACTGTGATAAAGATGTGGACTCCATTCTAAGTGAGATGGAAGCCATTGGAAGGTTTTAAACAAAGAAGAATGTTTTTTAAGATTACTCTAGTTCTTGTAAGGAGAATATTCTGGATGTTCTGGGATGGGGGCAAGGGACAAAGCAGGAAATGCAGATTTTTGAATCTAGTGACAAAAAAAGTGAGTGAATGACACCTGTACCGATTTGTTACTGTTGAAGTGTAGCAGAGTTGGTGGAATCAGATTTGCCTTCATCCAGCAAATAGGAGTGCCAGGTGGGGTGACCAACTGTCACAGTTTGTCTGGGCCTGTCCCTGGTTTCAGCATTGAACATCTTACATCCCAGAAAACCCCCCAGTCTCAGACAAACCAGAAGGTTGTTCACCCCAGTGCCAGGTAACAAGCCTTATTGAACCTTGTAGTAGTATTTGACACAAATGCAGTCACAGTTTCAGAAAATATGAACATGTATGATAAGACTAAACTGTACTTAAAGTTTCTGGCTGGCTTTGGACTTCACACCTCAGGACCTGTGTGAAGTAAATGTTTTCAGGGCTAAATTGCAGGAGGAACCAGTGGAGCTGAAACTGAACTCTACCACCAAAAGAAACGTGGTGGGCTTTGAGATGAACTGGGAATCTAAGACCTGTCCCCACACTATCAGCTGTATATTAAAATCCTGGGCACTTTGGGGCCCCGTCGTTTCTGAGACTGCATTCTTCTTTATGAAAATTCTGAGGAGAGTGACTGAGATCTGAACGGATATATGACCCATCAGCCTAGCTTAGTGGAATGGTTCTCACCAAGAACTATACCCACCCTCCATCTATGCCCCCATACTCATCCCAGTGAGGATGAGGCATTGGACAAGGGCAGTTTTGGTTGTCTTGGTGACGGGAAGATAGTAATTACCAGCATTTAGTGGGCAGGCAGGGACAAGGTTTGCTTAAAATCTGACATTGAGAATTGTCTCAGCAAAAATGCGTTGTGAAACATTGGTTTGTTAAATACTAGAATTCTCATTGATATCTTAAAATGTTATTCCATCTAGCCCTGGCTGGTTTGGCTCCGCAGTTAGAGCGTCAGTCCGCGGACCAGAGAGTACCAGGTTTGGTTCCTGCAAAGGGGTTGCAGTTTGTCCCTGACCCCTGTTGGGGTTGTGTGGGTGGCAACCACTTGATGTGTCTCTCTTACATCGATGTTTCTCTCTCTCTCTCCCTCCCTCTCTCCTTCCTGCTCTATCTGGACATGAATGCAAAAATGTCCTTGGGTGAGGATGGATGAATAAATACATAAACAAATAAAAAATAAACAAACAATTTTTAAAAATGCTATTGGATCTAGAACATTAAGCCTGTACTTTTTATTCTTTAATGAAAATATAGTGCTGTTGATTAAACCTGTTTGGTACAGACACTTTGGCCATAACCATATGCTCTATTAGAACTGGTGAAGAATGAAGGGAAGGGAGCCAAGGCATGAGCAGCATCTATGTTATCAGGGGCCTCTCTGATATTTGGCCTAAGACGTAGTGCCAGATACTTGTTCTGCTAATTTTTAATCGCTGTCCATGGTGTCAGCTATCTTTCTCAGTGCTCCTCCACTAACACTTACCGTAAGTGCCATATGATAAGAAAACAGAATGATTATTAAACATAGAGATCAGAAACCTCTATATTTGGCTTTAAACCAATGTCTAGTTTCTCTTCCCAGACCTCATCATAGATGTGAGATGGTTCCTTCTAATTTTGGGAAAATCATTGTGTTCCAGTTTGTGCTAATTATCATATAGATAATCATCACAACTGTAGAAATACTCCCTTTTGCTTGGCCCTTCTAACTGTAGACATGTGGTTTTTGGTCCCTGTTCAGTCTAAGATAGAGTCAGTGATAGCCTAATGATTAAGATCATGTGGTTTGAATCCTTGCTCTGACATTTCTGTAGCAAGAGGAAGGTCATTTAACTTCTGAGTCCTTGTATTTTCATATAAAAAGTGGAAATTAACCTAATGCCTATCTTTCAGACTGGTTGTGAGAATTACTTGAGATAATGTATGTAAAGTGCTTAGCACAAGGCTAAAACACACAAAAAATGGAAATACTCTTTTTGCGCTATTATGAGCAGTGTATGGAGCTTGCTGGCCTCTTTCAGCTTTTTTAAAAAGATTCATGTGGAATTGATTTTCATGTCATTATTGAGTAATGTCTTTCTTGGTTAGTTAATTCCTCTAGGTCTGCCATCACCAGGAAAATACGGTTATTCTCAATTGTGGATTTTAATTTAAATGCTTAAATCTACAAGTCTGTCGACTGCACTTTGTAACAACTGTTTTATATTATTTGCAATTAGTAGAATCACTGTTGTAACACTGCTGCTTCTCAACACCTTGATAATTAATTAAATATATTTTCATTTCACCTTTTGTCTTGTTTTGTAATTTGCTATTTTACATTTTGAGCTTTGTTATAATGTTTATTATATCTTGAAACACTCTGATAATATGGATATTTATTAAATGAATTGCTACATAAAGTATTGGATTTTTATTGTTTGATATTTTGTTTTGTTTGGACCAAAGATATGATCTTAGTAGGCTAGTGTATATCAACTTTTATTTCTCTAGTCCTTGGGACAGGTATTACTGTTAACAATCATAGTTTGAATTGACCATCAGGGTGTACTTTATGTTATCTTGGTGGAAGTGAAGCCTATGTACAGACTTCTAATCATGTAGCTGTTCTCTAAAGACTTGGTTTTGGAAGATTAAAAGTTGTTATATAACTTCTTGTTGGTCTTAGGTGACCACTGATCATTTTGTACAGCTGTATCTCTAGCATCATTATTTCATGGGGAATGTCATAGGGAACACTAGTATCATATACTTACTATTGCAGAGAAGATAGGTGTGTGCATATTTGCAACTGTTATGAGGCTTTGTGACTTATTCCTAAAAGATAAATATTTTTCTAAAGGTTCTTTGAGCTAATAAAATAGGCTTATCATTATATGCTAACAAAAAGACCAGTTTTCTTAATTTTCTGGTTTATGTTAGGGCAATACCTTTGTATATTTAAAAAGTGTCATAAGAAAACAGAATGGTTATTAAAATATTATATATTCTATAGTATTGGCTTCATTTATACATATATATAAAAGAATGGCTATCAGTATAAAGCAAAGGATAAAATTTTTCCTAATTTTGGAAATTCCAGGGAGAAACACATCTTATCTTTCCTAAAAAAGCTTCAGTGGAGCAGCTGCAAAAAATTCGTGACCTCATTGCCACAGAGAGAAGTAGCAGATTGGATGAATCAAATAAGAGCCACAAAGTAGAATTATCTCAGCAACCTGCAACCAGTACCCAGCTTCCTACAGCACTGTCTTCAAATCCTAATGGGTTAACCCAGCATGCAGGGAACAGTGAAGGGCAGTCATCAAATCCACCATCTGCTCCAATGGTAATGTTAGAATTAAACCTTCCTTAACTGTTTTTTATAAAGTGTTGAAACAGCAAATGCTTTAAAATATGTTATGACTTATTGTTGAATTGATGTCCCAGCTATTCTAATATATTCAAATTTTCCCAACTCCAAAAAATTGTCAAATTTGGGGGGAATGGCTGTCTTTTATTTATACTTTTAAATTTTAACTTGTGGTTTATTGCTAAGTTTTTTTGTTGTTGTTTTTTGTTTTTTTTCTTTTTTAAAAAATTTTTTTTCTTTATTGATTTTAGAGAGAGGAAGGGAGAGGGAGAGAGAGATAGAAACATCGATAAGAGAGAACACTGGCCGCTTCCTGCATGTCCCCCACTGGGGATCGGGCCCACAACCTAGGCATGTGCCTTGACCGGGAATCGAATCAGCAATTTCTTGGTGCATGGGTGGATGCTCAACCACTGAGCCACACCAGCCAGGCTATTGCTAAGTTTTATCACTTATAAAGTACCTGTACGTAAGTGCCTTGGTACTTAAATCAGTTACACAAGTTAGCATATAACCTAAAGAAAAGTAATGACCTTGTTGGACAGTAGTATGGTTGTCAAACAAGATTTCCTCTACTGCACTGATACTTCTGATCTAAATTTTACCTGCTGCCATACACTGTGGGAATTATTAATTCCAGCAACCCAACCATTATCATTGCCAAAATTTAATAAAAAATTCAGCGTCTTTAGATTTAAGGTAAATAATGCATTAATTTACTGATAGTGGTGGCAGCAAGTTAGTGACATTTAGTTATTAGCACATACAGACATGTGCTTCTGAAGAACTGAAATCAAAGTACTGTTGTCTTGCAGGCATTCTTGGTGCACCTAAATGATCTCATTTAATAGGAAATTGTCCTATTTACAAAAATCTCTTTGATATAGGTCCTTAAGTATTCTAAATTTTCACTATCAGAAAAGTGTCCATGAATTTTCTATAGTTACTTATCAGTAGCCCATTTAAACTCATATTCTCTTATTTTAATTTTTATAAAACACTTTGTCATTATCCTCCATATATCAAAACTTTATATAGAGTTGGTTATTAAATCTACTCTTAATTTTCTCCAGCTGAATAACTCCAGAGACTTTAACCTCATCTCCCTGATAGGCAAATGATGGGCAGTTATTCCTTTGTGTTGGGGCTGGGAAGGCCCAAAGCTTGTCTTTAAAAAATGAAGAATAAAGGTGGTAGGAACTGGTTGGGGAAGAGTCAGAGAGTTACTGTTCTTTTACAATTCTTTTAGAGTGGTTTCAAAACTATTTTTCATCTAGTATTAACTCTTGTAAGATATATTCTTTTGTGCCTTAATTGACTTATCTTAACCTTTAAGTCTTTAAAATATTTTCTACTATCATTAGTTTCTTAGCTAATGTTTGTTCATAATAATACTAAGTGCAGCTAGTGTTTATGAATGCTTCTGAGAAGCTGTTAATTGATAGTATTGGATCAACTAGTAATGATGCCAAGTGGCTGTAGGCATCAGATAAGACAGCGTACGTAAAAAGAAAGCTTTGTGGATTGTAAAAGACTTTAAAGGTTTGCCCTTGGTGATAATAATTCTTTCTGTATGTATCTGAGCTGCTTTATTCAGTACAAAGTTATCACAGAGTAAAAGAAAAGTGGGACTACTTAACTCTAATGGGACAGAATAGTCAGTCCATTCTATAAAATAGTAGCTTCCATTTTTTTTTTTTTTTTTAATCCTCACCCGAGGATATTTTTCCATTTTTTTGTACAGATAGAGTGGGAGGGAGAGAGAGGAAGGGAGAGAGAGAGAGAAACATCGACGTGAAGGGACACATCGAGTGGCTGCCACCCGCACGACCAACCAGGGCCGGGGACAAACTGCAACCGAAGTACGTGCCCTTTGCGGGAACCGAACCCGGGTCTCTCCGGACCGCAGGTCGACGCTCTAACCGCTGAGCCAAACTGGCCAGGGCCCATTTTTTTTATTGTACATCTTAACCAGTAATAAAATGTTGCATGCATAACCTCATAAATGTCTATTTACTTACAAATTATGTATTTCTATATTAATATGTTATGTACCTTATACAACATGTAAAAAATGAAAGAATGAGTCTGGCTGGTATGGCCCAGTGGTTGAGCATCGACCCATGCACTAAGAGGTCGCCGGTTCGATTCCCGGTCATAACACATGGCCAGGTTGTGGGCCCGATCCCCAGTGGGGAGCATGCAGGAGGTGGCCAGTCGATGTTCTCTCTCATCAATGTTTCTATCTTTCTCCTGTTCACTTCCTCTCTCTCTAAGAAATCAATAAAGGGGGGGAAAAAAATGAAAGCATGAGCCCAGCTATTTTAGCTCATTTGGTTGAGTATCATCCCATGCACCAGGAAATTGCAGGTTCGATTCCCAGTCAGGGCACATGCCTAGGTTGCAGGCTCAGTCTTCAGTAGGGGATGTGCAGGAAACAGTCCATTGATGTTTCTCTGTCTCTCCCTCTCCCTTTCTCCCTCCGAAATCAATAAAACCATATATATTTTTTTTAAAAATTAGAGAAATAAGTAAATCTGCAATGCACCACAGTGGATTCTTTTGTGCCCCTCTCTTGAGCACATGTATTCTTCCTTGGAACATAGGAGGTCTCCATCAGTTTTTCAGTTAAGGTTGATACAGAAACAGAATTAACCTCTTCCTTGATTTTTAGCACCTTTTCTTTTGAGTTTCCCAACTAAAGTGTTAGAATATATCTTTCAAGATTATCTATTTTCTCTTTTGTTGAATCTCAGTATTAAAGTGCACAATTCTAATTAGAGTTACTGAAAAGCATATAATGCATGAAGACATTTTATTTTACAAAATAGAGTTTTCCTGGAATAAGTAGTATTTTGTTAATGTTTGGGCTTAAGAAATCTATTTACATTTTCTGAATCTTCTTTAACTTTCTTCCTTTTTTTTTCCATTCCTAACCTGCAATTTAGATATAGTTTGAGGTTTTGTTTTTTTTTAACTCTGTTAATCACCAGAAAGCCTCTAGACATTACACCAATGGTTCTCAACCTTCCTAATGCTGCCACCCTTTAATACAGTTCCTCATGTTGTATGTGGGCGTATCTGCATGTGGGCGGACCCGCCTGGATAGAGAGTGGTGTCTCGGTTCCTAAGACCATCGGAAATATGTGTTTTCCGATGGTCTTAGGCAACCCCTGTGAAAGGGTCGTTCGACCCCCAAAGGGGTTGCGACCCACAGGTTGAGAACCACCGCACTACACTAAAATTTCATTTTACCGCCTAAACAAATTTAGAGTTTAGACGAAAAACTCTCAGACAGATGCTGTTAGCAAGCTAGTATATATCAACTCTTTATTTCTCTAATCCTTTACACAAAATTTCTTTTTTTTTTTTTTCCCTCACCCAAGGACATTTTCCCATCCCCTGTTTAGGTAGAGTGGGAGGGAGAGGAACAGAGAGAGAGAGAGAGAGAAACATCGACATAAAAGGGACACATCGAGTGGCTGCCACCCGCACGACCAACCAGGGCCGGGGACAAACTGCAACCGAGGTACGTGCCCTTAGCGAGAACCGAACCCAGGTCTTTCTGCCACAGGCTGACGCTCTAACCACTGAGCCAAACCAGTCAGGGCTTTTTCTGTGTTTCTTAAGGTAAACTCAGAATTCTGAAATTAGATCCACATTTGTGTGTATATATAATTTAGTTTTTCTTATAAAAATGCACATACATAAATATGTTTAATTTAAAAAGTCTGGAAAGCTATATACAGACATTTTAGCCGTAATTTCCTCTGAGTGGTGAAATTATAGGCAATGTCATATTTTTTATACCATTCAGTATTTTCTCAAATATTTTTTGCAGCATTTATAAGCGTTTTTCATAAGAAATAAAGTTTATTGAAGTCACAAGTTAATTAAAACTATCATTAGAAATCGATTAAACAGAACTTTAGTGTTTAAAAAACAGGTTCTAAATTTAAAAGCCACAAAAACAAAGAGTTGCATAAAGGTAGACAGAAGGCTAGTAGAATTGACAAGCATTGGTTCTTTACCAAGAAGGAATTTGTTGATCCAACTTCCACTGGTTATTATCACATGATTTGACAAAATATACACATTGTACTTCTTTTCTTATAAAGAATCTTAAATATATCTCATATTAGATACCAACGTAATTGGAATTCAGGTATGATTAGTGAAGAAAAAATCTATTTGATCTAAAGATACAGATTTCACATTTTAAACTTCCATTTGTACTTCAAATAACTTTAACTCTCAAGCCATTAACTGTTGCCTTATGTACATGGTTTCCCAGCTGCTGTAATCACCGTGCAATCAGCAAACTTGTGCTATTCTTTATGACTTAGTTTTGTTTTCTGGGTTTTTTTTTGGAATTGGGCCAATAAATATGTAAAGAAATAAGGCAAGAAAATAAACTTTATTGTTCAAGATTGTTTGCCATTAAAAACCACAGTGAATGAGGTAATTTCCAGATTGAAAATATTAAATTGAAAATAAAAACTTACTGGATAAGTTTTTACCCTCTCGGTAAATGAAAATCTGCTTTTAAGAAAAAATATAAAAGATGCCACTATAAATGCCTCATTTTTATAAGAATTCTTTCAAATAAAAAACGGAAACTTTTTTTAAAAAAATCTTTATTGTTGAATGTATTACAGATGTTCCTCATTTTTCTCCATTGACCCCCCTCCTCCCCACTCCTGCCCTCCTCCTGCCTTTCCTCACACCGTTGTCTGTGTCCATTGGTTATGCATATATGCATATAAGTTCTTTGGTTTATTTCTTCCCACCTGCCAACACCCTTCCCTTTGAGGCTTGTCAGTCTAGCAACCAATTTGTACTTCTTAATCTCTTCACCTTTTTCACCCATTCCTCCAACAAAATGTTCTCTATATCTATGAGAATGTTTCTGTTCTGCTGTTCATTTTGTTTGTAGATTCAACTGTTGATAGATATGTATTCATTGCCATTTTGTT